AAAAAAAAAAAAAAAAAAAAGCCAGGCGTGCAGGGGTCACCTGTAGTCCCAGCTATTCGGGAGGCTGAGGCAAGAGAATCACTTAAGTCCAAGAGTTTGAGTTTGCTGTGAGCTGTGACCTACAGCACTCTACCTAGGACAATATAGTAAGACTCTGTCTCAAAAAAAAAAAAAAAAATTCTACTTCCAAAAATAATTTGACATTTGAAAACCACTAAACCAACTAAATTGTATTGAACTACGTGATCCCTTAAGCCCCTTCCAGAGCTTACAGATCATGAGAGGTTGCATTGAAAGGTGTTCAGGGAGGTGATTTGCTCTTTACAAGTTTTAAGACCCTGATGATGGACAGGGTAGAAGATGATGTCAGAATCCAGACACCCAAGAAACAAACTGCTAGGGATGGGGGAAGTGAGGGTGGAGCCCCATAGATATGATCTGAATGTCACATCTGTCTCTTAGCCATAGTGACTTCAAGTGAGTGGTGTAGCTCTATGAGCTCCATTTCCATATCTATGAAACAGAATGAATAAACCTTCACAAGGCATTGTCAGGTCCTTAGTAGGCACTCTTCTCAAAATGTGCCTGGCCCCAGGGGATGGCCTGTCCTCACCTAATGTGACAATAGGTCACATTCCACAATCTCCCAGACTCACTGATAGCACTAACTCCTCATCCACTCCTGAGGGACCAAGTGTTAAGAAGGTTGAAGGAGGCTTGGATGGGAAAGGAAAGCAAGATTAAGGTGGGATGGGGCAAAGAAAACAGCTGTGAAGATCGGGACCAGTCTGGAGGAGAGTCTTAGGGGCTAGAGCAATTGTGTAATCCTCATCCCTGGACAAATATGTATCCTGTTATGGGTGGGGCTGAACTGCAAACACCCACTGTGCCTCTGGTCTCATAGGCACAAGTCAGGATCTGAACAAGGTGATAAAGATTCCAGCTGAGGCAGGCAGCTGGGTGCTACAAGCCAGATGGAAAACGGGCTCTGTGCCTGGATCATGGTCTGTTTCTGGCCCAAGGACAGACCCTCTGTGTTTAGGAAGCAGGATCTCTGCAAAGTTGAGGGTTTTCTCACACCTCCCACATTGGGCTCCATCTGTGTTTATGCAGCATTCAAAGCATGGGACATGAACTTGGGCAGATATGGGCAAATCATGCTTTCTAAGCCTCAGATTTTAAGATTCCACTGAAACAAATATAAAAACACTTCCGGCTGAGTGCAGTCCTATGACAAGGGCAGCGTGAGACCTCATCTCCAACAAAAAGCACTTCCCAGACAAGGCCCTGGGGCAGCACTGGTTGTTCACAGTTAGGACTAGTGTCTCCTGCTGCCTGGAGCACTGTCCATGCACACATTTTAAGGACAAGTCTCTTATCACATAAAGGCTTTTATTGAACTCAAACTCAGGGGCTCCAAAGCCTGAGAAAAACACAGGAAGCTGGGGCGTGCACCCAAAGGCACAGGCCTACCCTAGAGTCCCACTCCCCACCCCACCTACCCTCTTACCCACTCCTGACTCACATGAGGGTCTCAGCAGCTACCAGTCTAAGCTACCCCACTCTAAGTAACCCTCCCTCTCCCACCCACCCCCACCCGCTCTAGCAGGCCAGGCACCCACCCACGAAGGAGCATGCTGCCAGCTCTCTGCTGACCTCTCTCTGGATCTCTCAGAGCCTCCTGTGCCTGTCTGGCTTCCCTCCAACCCCACTTCATAGCTCATTTCCCATAAGTCTCCAGGGCATGTCACTTCTTCCACTCTGGCCCTCTTTTCCCAGAATCTTCAAACTTCCATTCTCCTCCAGCTCTTCCCTATCCTCTGTAAAGGTTTCCCTAGCTCCCTGTCCCCTTCTCTTCTGCCTGCACCTCCCACCCATGCTGGGGCCCCAGGTCAGCGCCGGCCGGCTGCATGGGTCCGCTGGTGGCGGATGAGGTCAGAACTCTGCGAGAAGGCCTTTCCACAGTCATCACACTTGTAGGGTCGCTCACCACTGTGGACACGGTGATGCTGCAGCAGCGTGGAAGAGCGGCAGAAGCCCTTGCCACATACGGCACACCTGTAAGGCCGTTCACCTGTGTGGGAGCGCTGGTGCTGAATCAGCGTGGAGGAGCGATTGAAGGTCTTGCCACAGTCAGGGCAGCTGTAGGTACGGCCTGGCAGATGGGTGCGTGCATGGATGGCCAGCACAGAGCTCTGGCCAAAGCGCTTGCCACACTCAGGGCACTTGAAGGGCTTCTCACGGGCATGGCTGCGGGCGTGCGGAATAAGTGCTGACCGCTGGGAGAAGCTCTTGCCGCAGATGCCACAACTGAAAGGCCTTTGGCCAGTGTGCACCCTCTGATGGCTGCGAAGGGACGAGTTCTGGCTGTAGCATTTGCCGCACTCAGTGCAGCTGTAGGGCCGCTCATGGCTGTGGGTGCGCTGGTGCCGCAGGAGGTAGGAGCTGTCCCCGAAGGCCTTGCCACAGTGTGGGCACTTGTAGGGCTTCTGGCCAGAGTGGGTGCGCTGGTGGCGAAGCAGGTAAGAGCTGTCAGCAAAGGCCTTGCCACAGCGGGGACATTTGTAGGGCCGCTCACCGGTGTGTGTGCGCTGGTGTTTGATGAGGTCAGAGCTCTGGGAGAAGGCCTTGCTACAGACCTCACATTTATAGGGTTTCTCACCCGTATGGATGCGCTGGTGCTGGATCAGGGTGGAGCCTCGCCCAAAGCTCTTCCCACAGATACCGCAAATGTTAGGCCGAGGGCCCTGCCCACCCCTGGCCCGGCCACCCCTTCGGCCTGGACCCCGAAGGGCTCCTGTCAGACCCAGGGGATTCTGAAGCATCTCAAACTGGGGTGTAGCCAGTAAGGCTCCTGTAGGCATCTCAAAAGGTGGGCCTATGGGCAAGCCCCCTGTGGGCTGCTCCCCAAACTCCTGAGTGAAGGAGTCCAGGGGGTGAACTCCTAAGGGGATGGTCAAGGAATTCTTTTCCTCAGGATTCAGAAGCATTTCTGCACCTTCCTGGAATTTGGAACTTTGAGCTTCAAATTCAGAGCTTTGGGTTTTGAACTCAGGATTCTGGGATTCAAACCCTGGGCTCTGGGATTCGTACCTGGAGCTCTGAGATTCATATCCAGGGCTCTTGGGATCATACCCAGGGCTCCGAGGTTCATATCCAGGGCTCTTGGGTTCATAGCCAGGGCTTTGGGGTTCATACCTAGGACTCTGGGATTCAAACTCAGGGCTCTGAGAATCTGAATCAGGGCTTCTGGGTGCAAACTCAGGGCTTGGGGGCACAAGCCCAGGGCTTTGTGACTCAAACCCCGGACTTTCAGGCTCAAACCTGGGGCTTTGGGGTTCAAACTCTGGGCTTTGTGGCTCAAACCCAGGGCTTTGGGGTTCAAGTCCAAATGGTATCTCTTCAACTTCATAGTCCCCAGTGCCTTCTTGCTGGGAAATTTCCTCTTCCTCATTCTCACTCACGTTGCCTGCAGGATCAAAAAATTACAGAAACCCAGGTTGCGGGGGACCTGGAAGGTCATTTGGTTCATTAGCTTCCCCAAACCTCCCCCCTCCTCATGCAGGGTCGCTGGCCCTTGAACAGGTGCTGAAATTCCCACGCCCACCATAGTCGACTCAGAACACCCAGTCCCTGGCCCCCACCTCCTTCAAGTCCCAGATGTCCAAGCCCCAGGCCTTCTTTCCTTCCCACGAACCAAAGTTCTTTCTCCGACTCCCAGGTTCACTCCTCGGAGGGGCGGTCCCTCCTCACCTTTGAGGGACCTTTCAGGGCTTCCCATTTCGTCAGGACTTTGCATATCCTGGGACTCCAGGACCCACGGCGATGCCTCCCGCTCCATCCCCGCAGGTTTCCAGTGCAGCGGAGGCGGAGATGGTGGACGATCCTGCGACCTGGCACGAGTGCCCTGAGATCCAGGCCCTCGCTACCTCCCGCTCAGCACCACCAAGGGGACGCGGTTTCCCAGCTCCGGCCCGTGAGGCCGGACGTCTTGACCCTGGGCCTCTCCGGCCAGCCGAGCCCCTCCCCTACCCGCGGCCCCGCCCCCCTTCCAAGGTCTCGGTTTGCCCTGTGGCCCTCACGGGGCCCTACACGTCGTGGCCTCGGAGATGAGGGGCTTTACGACTCGCCTCACCACCCCCAGACACCGCTCCCCGCTCGAGACCCCACCGACTGGCCCCCCGGCCGGGTTGCGGCTGTCCAACTCCCCTCCCCCCCCCGTACAGGAAGTGTCCGTCCGCGGCCAGTTCCCCCCGCTGGCTAGAGCCGCGGCCGCTCTAGGAGCCGCTGGAGGTGGAAACTCGTTGGCATTAACCCTGGGCTGGATGGCCCCGGCACTGGGGAGAGGACCAGGCGCCCCAGAGACTGCAGGAGGGGCTGGAGCAGTTTGTATGCCTATGTTCTAGGTCTCCGTCAGTCCAGGGGCCTGTCTGTCCGTCTCCCGAGCTCTACGTCCGTCAGCGCTTGTGGCCAAGGGCGAGGCGACAAGCGAGACCAAGGTCAGCGAGAAGGAGCGACGCTTCCCGGCGCCAGCGGGGGCGGTGTCTAGATCCCCTCCCCTCACGGGCCTCCGGGTCAGCTCCCGCGGCGCCTCGGGAAACCGGACGGACTCCCCCTTGGACTCGTCGAGATTCTTAAGCCTGGAACCCCTCCTTGAACTCCAGTGCCACAACGGGGCTCCCGCACCTACCCCTTCTGGCCCCCTCCTTTCCCTGTTCTCCCTAATTCCCCCACCCTCCCTCGGGGAGAACTAAGATTGTTGCCAAGGTGACAGCCCCGCCTCCTTTTCCAGAGGCACCGCCCTACCTCCCAGAGAACTCAACGATTGGCCGATGGAGCTCGTGCTCTTGTCGCCCCGCCTCGTCCTACTCCACAGGTTTCTAGGCGTTAATGGTCGCCAGGGAACAAGGGGCACCTTTCTGATTGGCTGGAGACGCTCAAGCCGGTTCCACCTCCCCTGTATCACAGATGTGCCTGCAGGAATGAGTGGGAGGGAAGTGCCTGTCTCCCCTCAAGCTGGGACTGAACTTTCAAAACTTTTTCCACCTCCATTCACCCCTGTTATGTTTTATCTTGCTTAAGAATGAAAGCCGTAGCTCGGCGCCTGTGGCTCAAGCAGCTAAGGCGCCAGCCACATACACCTAAGGTGGCAGGTTCGAATCCAGCCCGAGCCCGCCAAACAACAATAATGGCTGCAACCAAAAAATAGCCGGGTGTTGTGGCGGGCACCTGTGGTCCCAGCTACTTGGGAGGCTGAGGCAGGAGAC